AATGTCCATTCTTGGATTGTAGGCAAGTCTTCCTTCTTCCAATATTGCGCCACCAACAGTCTTGCTGCAGTTATCAGGTGCAGAATCAAATTAGTCTCTACCACTGTAAAGTCAGTACATATACCTAGTAAAAATAACTGAGGAATAAACTTTATCCTTCTTTTAAAAATATTTTGCATGACCCACCATATTTTTATCCAGAATGCCTTAACCTTTTGGCAGGTCCACCATATATGATAATATGTAGCATCGAGAGAACCACACCTCCAACATTTAGGCTGTACATTCGGATACATAGAAGCCAGCTTTTTAGGATCTAAATGCCATCTATAAAACATCTTATAAAAATTTTCTCTCAAATTTTTGCCTGTGCTCTTCTCTAACTGAAGGTATTTTCTCTTTGTCTAAATATTTGTCTATGTCTAAACCATTAATTTTATCCCCTTTATACAGTTCTGTTGTATTTGTATTTCATTTTCAAAACTGTGACAATGTTTTTGTTTTTCATTGGTTAGATCCAGTGGTGGGTTTCCAAATTTTTTACTACAGATTCACTCGCGCACTCCTGCACAACACTTCTACGCATGCGCAGAAGCGTCCGGGTGGGTGGACAGAGTCTCCTGCCGCCGTTACTACCGGTTCGTCCAATCTGGGCTGAACTGGGAGCAACCCACCTGTGGTTAGTTCATATTCCAATAATTAAATAGTTCTTATTTTCTATGCCTTGGCATTCCAGTCTTTAATGACCAAAGATTTGATACCAAAGTTCGAGGCAAACCCAACCAACAAGATCTGATTCCTAAATTGAAAAATGGTTCTCAATGCAGATAATAATTAGGCATAGAAAATAAAACTACCAGTTTGATCCATTCATTGTCTAGGCCTATACAGTTGTCCAGCTGAAGATGTATCAAAAAAACTTTGTGGGACGTTACCATGTTGGAAGCACAAAACTGATTCCAGGATTCACAGGAGTGTTACAATTGGGACTCCCAAAGTGTGGGGGGGGGTGCGCTGTTTGTTGTTTAAACCTGAAGAAGGCTTTAAGTCATCTTTGAATGTGTTAGAGACAAAGGAAGAAATATAAAGTTGGTTTGTGTGACCAATTTTTTTAAAATCTATAAAGCTCTAGCAATCCTTTACAGAATTTATGCCGACATCAGGAAATATTGATGATTTACAGAGATACATAGAGATTAGGAATAGGTTGTGGGAAGAAGAGTTATTTGTAAACTTATACAGGGTGAAGCGTTACTAACTTTGTTTATACTTATTGTCATGAAAATAGAAAGTCATTTCTTTAAATATTGTTCTTTTCCATTATCTTACTTTTTTCCTTTTCTTTCTTGGCACTTTTTACTCTTTCTATTTCTCTCTCTCTAGTTTTAGTTTGCATTTGCTTTTACTACTGTAATCAAAATTGTCAACAAAACTATTTTAGAAAGGAAAATAAAAAACTCTAAAAGTCACAGTGGCAAAGAATATTTGTTGTTGAGAACTGAGAGACATGTAAGTTTAATAAATTATTATTATTAATGTACAAATATACTTTATTAGCATGCTGTAATGTACAAAAGCACAAGCAAACCTTCAGAGTTTCTCAAAACATCTTCAAACTGAATGTTGAACATAGCAACAGCAAAAAAAAAAAAAAAAAGGATCATGGAGGTAGTCATGGACTGCAAATTCCCAAATCTGTTACTTCAAGTTTGCTAGAAGTAGATGTACAATATATATTTAGTTGTAGAATGTATTGACTGCTTCGATCCATAGTGACTCTAAGCAACATATCAGTCTTAAACAACAAATGACTTCATTTTAAAAAAACATTTAATAATCCTTCTGATTAAAATAGCCACATAATTTCCAAAGTCCTATTGAAAACCACAAACTTTTATCAGTCTTTAGAAGGCCAAGAGAATGAAAGATAGCCTTGTTGAAAGGTAGCCTGCATCAAAGGAGGGGAGTCCACACACAGGACACTTGCCATTGGCCTCCGTGAATTAAACCTTGGAAGACAATGGATCTGTAGCAGATGCTCCTTGATCATCTGGACTGGACATATAATGTTCCTGCAAAAATCTCTTTGAAAAGCACTTTGATAGCTTCAACACTACATTTCGTGTTGCATCAAGGACTCCTGGGACATTCAGTTCTCCAAAACTAAGATGTCAATTTGTTGACAAGAAAAACTGGAGAAATAATAACTCCTCACTATCTCAGCAAAATGGAAATTCATTATAAACATTGTCTTAGTAGAAACCAAACTGTTATTTTCCAATTAAAGAATATATTCTTTCCTTGCAAATTTTCCCTTAGCACAAAGGTGTCAAACTGGCAGTCTGTGGGTCGGATGCGTCATGCACAGGGCACACCCACCCCAGTTCCACAAAGGGAAAAATGTCGTGAAACATCACATGACATCAATGTGATACCGCAAATTTGACACTAGCACTATCTGAATCAAATATGTAAAGCAAGAGAGAAAATGTTGATCTTTCAGTTACATACCCCTTTATTCTGCAGATTAAATTGGAAAGGTAAAATTTCTCCCCTGAGGGTGGGAGGGGGCAGAAAATTGTCATGCAAAAACTGCACAACTGGACAGAAAAGTAATGGTTCTCAATTACTTTCTCAGCTCTTTGACTTAAGCTATTTTGCTATGTCTTTATCTTAGGAATGAAATAAACTAGGAGATGTTTGAATACCAAAGACACTTAAAATAGTTAGTAATACTTATTTTATTATGTGAATTCTGAAACCTGCCAAGAAGAACTTGTACAGATATCTGTCCACCTCCATTGTTAGGTTTAGTTAAGTGCAGTTCTTTCCATAGCAACCAGAAACTTTCAAGGCAGAAATAAACTAATCCTCTCTGGCTTGCTGAGCACCATCAAGGAATTTTAAAAACATTGGATTTCCTGGCAGCTAAATGCTTTGTGGTATTCAAAAGGCCATAGAGTCATATACCGATCCTCCTTTTTTATTTTGACTAAAAGTAAGAATTCAGAATTGGGGAGGAGGTCTATTGTTTTAGTGTTAATCTCTTTGTTTTGTTAAAGCTTGTACAAAAATCCCTAAATGTAACCATGTCATGTGTTTTGCAATATGAATACAACTTCAACAACAGAGTGGTCAATGTCTGGAATGCATTACCTGATTCTGTTGTTACATTCTTAACTTTAACTTTAAACTGTCTACTGTTGACCTCACCCCATGCCAAAGAGGTCAGCAGTGGCATGCATAAGTTCACCAACATGTCTAATGTCCCTGTCCTACTATCCCCATTTATTTGTACCCATTTCCTGTGTTCTTATTCATGTTTAGTCTTATTCCTGTTACCTTGTACATGAGTGACAAAACAAATAAACAAATAAATATAAATAGAGAGTTGATTTTCTATACTCCTATTTGGCAACCACTACTAGCTGGTTCTACTACTTTAGTCTTGTAGCATAGGTTTATTATGAAATAAAATCTACAGTTTGTTATAATATGCTATTGTGCAAATTGCATATGGACAGCACAGAGTTATATGCCTTATGTCAGGGTTTTCAATTTAACCTTAGGAATAAATTATTTATTGGAAATTTCAAAACTCTTGGGCCCTTAAGTTGAAATCAAAGCCTGACCTATATATCTTTAGATATATGACTAACGGAGGATCAGACTCATAGATATGACCCAAGAATGTATACAAACATGGCCCATTGTCATGCTTGTATACACAGTCTTACAACCAGAAAAGTGGCTAGAGATGGAAAAGGACATAATGGAGGAGAATGCTGGAAATGCAGTAGATCCAATGATGAGGAGTGGGAGGTGCTACCAGTGGGCAATCATCAATCCTGATTGGTCCATAGACTGAGAGAAATTGTTGCAGCCATGCCGCTACTCTTTCTGCCCAGTTCCTCTCAGTCTATGGTCCAAATAGGCTGGTAGTTCCTTAGCTGTTGCTAGTTAGAGATTTTTGTACTAAATTATCTGTTCATTTTGGCTAATTCAACCTTCCTCCAAATTTACTTCAAATTGACTTTGAGTGTTGCTGTCAGCGAAGGGGGCGTTGGTCTTCGTCGCCTTCTCACGGGGGCCGCCGGATCATGATCGGCCTGATCCAGAGGGCCTATAGTTGAGGACTCCACTATAGAGGCTGAGGTGAGTGGTGAGTGATTTGTTAAAGTTTGCTGGCTCACGCTGCTGTGGCCCCGGGGTGCGGGAAAAGCGGGAAAAGCCGTGGTTTGTTTAAAAAGTAATTCCCCAGACAGCTCTCTCCTTCCCTTGCAGTGAGCCAGCAGTCACCACCGAGGTGCCTTTTCAGGATGCCAGAGATCGTGGCAGCGCCGGTCTTTCTTGGGGGCTCTCAACAAAAAAAAAATAACAAAAGGAGATTGGGCGCCAGGCCTTGAATTCTTGGCCGCGTCAACCACCATTCTAGCATGGCGGACAGTCGTTTTTCTAACTGGTGGCCATTTTAGAGGCTAGTAAAAGAGAGGTGGCCATTTTAGATCAGCCACAAGGCTTGTAAATTGCAATTTTGATTGGCAAGACATTAACTGGATTTTGGCCACAGTTTTAAAGGGGAAGGAGGACCTAATCAGGGGGTTCCTCGCTAGGTTATCAGTGGAGACCTTTGTTTTTTAAAAATAGAAAAAGAGTGATAGAATGTCATCCAGGCAGGAGAAAACAGCTGCACCACAGGTATCTGAGGTACCTGTTTCTGGAGCCAGACCTAGAGCAGTGGCAGCAAGGCCCACAGCAGCACAAAGACCATCAAGGGCCATGCTATGAGATGAACAGCGGAGGCAATGGGCCTTGGAAAAAAGAGTTTTCCCAGGCAGAAGCCGTGCTGCAGGATCATCAAGATCGTGGTAATGATCCTCCCTCCAGAGTATCTAGTCCTGTGTCTTCCTTAGCCCCATCCCTGAGCAGAGGGGGGTGGGAGTTTCAGGATGGAGGTTTCCCCCTCTCCCACTGTTTCCCCCAGGACCATCAGGGGAGTAATGAGGGTCCCCATGGAGGGCACCTCCAGAGACTTTCTGCTTCCCCATCCCACGCTGGTCCTCGGCCTGAGTCTCCTGGTGTGGAGGACATGGATAATAAATATGAAGAATTGCAAAACGCCCCCTAATTTTAAAAAACTGATTGCCTCCACCATCTCGCATAGCATTGCCTCAAGCATGAAACAACAACATAGCAAAGATCCAGTCCTCAAGAAGGCTCAACCTCCCTCGACCCTGCAGGGTGCAGGGAAGAAGGCATCGGACCCTGTCCTCCCTCCTGAAGAGAGAGATGCTCCTGGTTCCCCTTCCCTGGCTAGTGGAGGGTCAGTGTCTGGGGAGGAACCCATGCGCGGCCTGGTGATGTCCGATGAGGAGGACACAGGAAAGCAGGATATTCCCTCCTTTGCTGGCCTTTTTCAACCCTCATTGTTTAAACAGTTATTAACCAAGACTAAGTTGGGCGGAAGCGATTCAACTCCCACTCCAGAGTCTCAGAAGGACCCAACTAAGACTATGTTTGTCAAAAAACCATTAGATAAGGAAGAAGTCCCAGTGCCTCCTCTTTTCCTAGAAGTAGTTACGAGTCAGTAGTCGCAACCAGGCACCTTCCCAAATCCTGGAGTGAACGACAGGAAATTGTATAATATGGATCAGTCCTTCTCTCAGGCACTCCAGGTACCTATAGTTGACACTCTGGTAATGGCCTTGTCATCTCAGTTGTGGTGGTGGCAGGAGACATGGCAGACAAGCTGAAGCCTGTGGATAAGAAAGCTGAACTTATCCTTAGGAAGGGTTTTCAGGCTTCGGCTTGGGCCGTAAAGATGGCTGCTGCTGCATCCTTCTTTAACAGAACAACCTTGTTGTGGCTGCAGCAGCTGCAGGAGGTTACCCCTCCAGAGGACGTTCGCACAATGAAAGATCATTGCAGCAACCCAATATTCGGTGGATGCCATACTTGAGTCCGTTAAATTTGCCTCTCGAGCTTTGTCTGTCTCTGTAGCTTCAAGACATCTCCTGTGGTTAAAGAACTGGCAGGTAGATAATAAATTGAAATTTCACCTTACTTCCACACCATACACTCGTGGGAATCTATTTGGAGAGGCCTTGGAACCAATCTTGGTTGAAAACAAAGAAAAGAAGAAAGTCCTCCCATTAACGACCAAGTGTCAGGAGAACCGCCCTGCACCTTATCGCAAGGGATCTTTCTGTACCTCTGAATCTGAATTCCAACAGAACAAGTATTATGGCTTCAGGGGGAACAGGTTCCAGTCCAGGAACTACTTCCAGGACAGGAATAGATGCCAGGGGCAGTCGAAATGGACCTTTCAAGGGGGAAGCGGTCGTCCATTCTGCAAAGGGAAATGAGTCAAATCCCACACTTCCCATTGGTGGCTGCCTGTATCATTTTGTGTCACAATGGGAATGCATAATGACGGACGCTTGGGTCCTTGCCACTGTACAACAGGGTCTCAGACTGGAATTTCTCTGTTCCTCTCCCAACTTCTTCAGATCTTTCCCCTACTCCTGGAGCCCGTAAAATGGGATATGGTGTGGCTCACAATTCAACACTTATTGGAAATTCAGGCAATAAAGCCAGTTCCCTTGGAGGAGCAGGGATTGGGGTTTTATTCCAACTTTTCTATAGTCCCGAAGAATTTGGGTGGGGGTGGGGGGGGTGGAGAGTGATCCTAGATCTGAAAATCAAATTTACTGCATACTGTTGATTTAAAATGGCATCCTTGAGCTCCATCTTGCAAGGAGTTAGACAGAGTGATTTCATGACCTCTATAGACCTGACCGAATCGTATCTTCATATTCCAATATTGCCTTCTCATCGCAGATACCTTAGGTTCTCTAAAGAGGGAGTTCATTATCAATATAGGGCATTGCCATTTGGATTGGCCTCAGCCCCGAGAACATTCACCAAGGTCATGGCGGTGGTGGCAGCCTACCTTAGGTCTATCCTCATACGATTACAACTTTACCTGGATGATGGCTAAGTATAGGCTCATTTCTATGAGCAGTCGAACAGGCAAAGTGGAACTCATTTCAGAGCTTTGTGGACAGAGGCACACAGTCTAATCTCATGGGTGGAGACACATGTGGTTTTGACCACAGCAGACCACATTTCTGGGATTGCCAACCACCAGGCAGACTGGCTCAGTCGAGCCACAGTGTACCATGGGAAGTGGCAGTTGCACCTGGATCTTTTTCTATGGGTCTGTTGCAGGTTCAGGACTCCAGTGATTAATCTTTTTGCGACCCCAAAGAATGTTCAGTTACCGAGATTTGTGACCAGATATTGGATTCGAAGGGCAAAGGACCCGGACGCAGATGCCATTGGCCGGTGGGCTTTCTATATGCCTTTCCCCCTCCTCCTCCCAGGGAGGAGATTTGCTTGTGCCAGGTGGTGTTAATTCATTCAGAGCCTCAATGGCTAAAACTAACTGCCTGGCACTTGAAAGGGACATTTTGAGTAGGGTCCAGGTGTCTAATAGGGTTATTTCCACCTTGGAAGCATCCAGGCAACTGTCCAACACTACATGGTTGGCGTTTCTGAGGTGGTGCGACGTGGCATCCATTGTGGCAGAAGAGGCTTTTGTGCCTCAGGTATTAGATTTTTTGCAAGATGGGTTAGACAGGGGCCTAGTATTCAACACCTTGCGTTGCCAGATGGCAACACTCTCTATTATTCTACCAGGTGAAGGTCAGGTCCCCTTATCTCACCTTCCCTTAATTAGTAGGTTTTTAAAGGGGGCAGCTAATCTTGCCCCTCCAATTATACATAGATTTCCTACATGGGACTTGCCTTTGATTCTGCAGGCATTGATGGAGTTTCCCTTTGAGCTGATTCGCATGGTATCCCTTCAGTTTTTTACTATGAAAGTGACATTTTTAATTGCTATTACGTCGGCTAGACGTATTTCAGAACTAGGGGCTATATCTTCTCGGAATAATTTATGTATTTTCCACCAGGCTAGGGTAGCATTACGATTAGACCCAGCTTTTCTTCCTAAAATTGATACCCGCTTTCATAGGGCACATGAAATAGTGTTGCCCAGCTCTGTCTCACTCTAGAGAGCGTTTGTGGCATAGACTAGATGTCCACAGGGCATTGAGAATTTATCTCAAGCGGATGGTCTCCTTTCAGAAGTTGGAAGCTCTCTTGGTGTCATTCCAACCATCCACACAGGGAGCAAGAGTGACATCAAACATTATAGGCAGGTGGCTGAAGAAAGCTATTTCCTTGGCCTATGAAGCCAAAGGATATTACTGCGCATTCTACTCGCCGTGCGACCACCACGATGGCATGAGCGACTAGAGTGCCATTCGAAGATATCTGTAGGCAGCGTCTTGGGAGTCCCCTACTTCATTTATTTGACACTACAGATTGGACGCTTATGCATCAGCTGAAGCATCCTTTGGACATAGAGTGTTGCAGCAGGTAGTGGCTCCATCGGGAGTATCAGATTCATAATAGTTCTCCCTCCCTATGGACGTAAGCTTGGGTACGTCCCACTGGTACCACCTCCTGTTCCTCATCATTGGGAACGATTGTTGGTACTTACCTGAACGTTGATTCTAACGATGAGAGCAGGAGGTGCTACCTTCTCGCCCTATTTAGTGTAGCAGACAGTGGGGAGGAGCTGTTTCCCTTGTTGTGAGTTTTGGTTTCGCAGATTTATTCCCTACGACCTCGAGGAACTGGGCAGAAGGAGTAGAGGCATGGCTGCAACAATTTCTCAGATTATGGGCCAATCAGGATTGACGATAGCCCACTGGCACCTCCTGCTCAGCATTAGAATCGACATACAGGTAAGTAGCAACGATCGTTCTGCATTGCCAACTCCTATTCACACAGATGTGTATAGTAGTGTATGTGCACACACACTTACATACTATTTAAGTTATGCTTCTTTGTAGTGTATTTAATTTTTTCTTATTTTAGTGTGTCGATTAAAATATATAATATTAAATATGGAGGAGATTTAAAAGGACATCTTATTGAAGTGTTCCAGAAAATTTCCCTCCGTTTTTTGTATTTTATCACTCAATCAACAGACTTCCATCAACAAGAGACAAGGAATTATATATTTTTCTGGTTATTAAACTATGTGCTTTTATTATGACTGGTTCAGTCCTCACAACCCTTCCTTTGGGCACTTCATTTGCACTTCCATATTAGTCAGTAGGCAAGATGATTGGTTAGTTCATTCAATATTGTGGAAAGATGTTTCTCAGGGTTTCTGGGGCTGAAGATATTTGACGTCTAGAAGCACTCAGGTAAAACATACAAAGATTAAGAATTAAATGTAGATTCTTATAAAGATTAGTCCAGTATTCGCATACCATACTTTTTATATTTTTCAACAAAGACAGATCATGCAGATGTGAAAAACAGAACAACATAAAACAAAACTGAGTAACAGTTATGCTGTTGCTGTTACCAGAAGTCTTTTATTTTTTTGCCTTAAATACATTTTTAAGGAAATGGTCAAGATACAATTCAAGAGACAAGTTCCTCAAAAGGTCCGTCCAAGTTTCAGTGTTGCTTTCATTTGGCTTTTACTACACATGCAATCTGGGAATATTCCTTCAAACCCAATTTGCGAAAGCTGCAATATGACACTATGTTAATTGTAACAGCCCTTCTTTACATTCACACTGCATTGCATAAGGCTTCTCTTTATCTTTTCAGTTTCCTTATTGTACAGGAAGACTATTATAGCAATAGCACGTAGACTTGTATACAGCTTCACAGTGATTTACAGCCCCCTCTAAGCGATTTACAGAGTCAGCATATTGCCCTCAACAACCTGGGTCCTCCTTTTACCCACCTGAGAAAGATGGAAGGTTGAGTCAACCTTATGACTGTTTAATCCCATTTCCTTTCCTTTTCAAAGTGTTCTGGTGAAGGAAGTAGCCTAGTGGAATGATGAAAATTCTGATGCTGATGAAAACATGTTGCAATAGCTAACTGTTGTCCTTCTTACCTGAAGATTGCAAGAAGTTTATCTGATACAGCAATTTATCCTCTCTAAGGTTCAATAGTACAAATGATTTCCATGTAACAGGTACATTTTCAAGTCCAACTCAAAAGTTACTTTTACCTTGAATTTAAAATAATTAAAATTCCAGGAAATTTGTCATGAAATCTGGTAAAGCAATTCCTCTTTATAGTGCAAATTGATTCCTCTTAAGAAGTAGATAATTGATAGATATAGCCTGAAAATTAAGACAGAGCAAATTAAGACAGAGCCGAAGAAAAAAAATGAAATAAAAAGAAGAAAGTAGAAGAAATAAATAGATGAAATAAAAAAAATACCTTGTACATATAACTCCAAACTACTGGGAAGTTGTAATTGAGCTATACAAACCAGATTAAAACATTTTGCAAGTTATCAAAAATATGGAATACTATTTCTAAGAAAGTCTGCCACGTGGGAAATTTGAATTAAATTCATTTTTTTTAAAAAATGGGATTCTATCACACATATATAATTGATCTTATTGTGAATATCCATGTCTGTTCTGTCTGCCTGATTTATAGTTATTAGCTTGTTTGGGCAGCATATTTTGGATCAGCAATGGCAATGTCTTAATATTTTCACAAATTATTATACCATAATAATAATCCTCACTATGTCATTTGTTTTGTTTATAAATAGGAAGTAAGCAGAAAGAGTACTTGAAATTGCATTTAAATTACATTTGCTCCATACAGTGTAAACTTCTCTTACATCTTATCAAACAAACCATTCCAACTATATTTGGAGAATGGTCTAACATAGATGATATTTAGAGCCACACATGATAGATATGATTTCAAGTAACCAGTTACAGCCATATATATATAAGGATAAGGAGTCGAGCTCTGTAGCTCAATGGTTAACACATCTGCCTAAGAGGCAATAGAGCACAGGTTCGATTCCCA